CACTACATGGGACTAAGGACCAGCAGTAACACAGACATATGGAAATTGCGGTTGCTTACTACTGCAATTCTTAAAAAAAAAAAAAAAGTGACTTATTCTGAAATAGTTATTAGTTACAGAAAGCATTTCTGAAGAATTAAAGTACAGCAGTAACAATTTCTTTTATTTTTTTATAGCAGGCCTCAGCAGGGAAAAAATGGGAAATCAAAAAAAAAATTCCTACCTTTTTCCAAATCCTCTGGTTATAGAAGACACTCCTCCAGCTCACATCTTCTTATCAGTAGAGAGTAATATGACTTTACAACATAACAAACATCCTTTGAAAGAAGACATTACATGGGAGAAAAGTAGACTTGCACTTCAACTACAGCCAAAGCCACATCCTGCTCTTTTGAAGACAGCAGGTTATGAAAGATTGCTCTAGCTTTCTCATGGGAAAACAAGTGGCCAAAGATGCAATGGGAGAGAGTAGTAGGATGTGATCTCCATTTCTCCAGCTCACTACTTAATCATTGGCTTCTGCCTGATTCTGCATCCTCCAGGGGTGACATCTCTCCCAAGGATACCTAGCAGACACCCTGAACAGCAAGTAGGTGAGGTAACATCTGGTTTGTGAATCCCGCCAAACAGCCAAACATTTGTTCATGTCAGGACTTTAGGCAATCAAGTGGATGGATGCCTGCCCACAGAAAAATGTTGCCCACAGAAAACTGAGTATGTTACCAGGACAAAGAGACACACTAGTGAACATCAACATCTGTACAGATGGGTGGGAGGTATACGAACACAGTGCTGTCTCAGGCACCAGGCCATCTCTTCCTCCTCGTGTCTCCAGCCCTCAATGTCAAACCCTAGGGTATATCTACTACCAACCTAAAAAGCAAATTTATCATGACAAGCAGAATGATCCAGGAACATCCAGTCCCTGCTTTACCTCAGATTAAAGAGGCAAGCTGCTTGTTAACAGCAGTAACCTGATGCACTTTTAATGCCAACTCTTGCCCAAAACTAGGAGTCTTCTTATGTATTGCAAATCCAAAACGGAGGAAGAGAAATGAACAGATAGGGTGTGGTAAAAGAGAAGCCTAATACTTCATCTCCATATCCTTATCCTCTAAAAGTGCAAAGACACTCAGTGCTGTTGTTTAGGGAGTCAAATTTTGAGATGGTAAGTAGTGGCAAGCTTAATGTTCAAGAGCAAACCTATATAATTTATATCTATTAAACCAAAAAATCAAGATATGAAATAGTATCTTCACAGTCTGGACAGAGTTAGAATAATCAATACAAGTGGATTCCTGAATTAGCTTTACATAGAGCACAACCTGAATTGTAAGATAAGTTGGGTTGCTCTTCATCTTTCTGGTTGAGCAGAGCATGGTTCACCAAAGGGCCACCACCTTCCCTCTCCACCTTTGGCAAAGGCATCAGGCCACCCCTGCAGCGCTGATCCACCGAGAATGTTTCCAGGTTTCCCTGTTGAGACTTCATTAAAGAGAATAGCATTTGTGTTCAATATCATTCAACATCAATGTCAGGATTAAAGCACTGTCTGCAAGTGCTCATCCACTGCATTTGCAAGTGGCTTCCAGCTTCCTCCAGGCAGCAGAATGAGAGTGAAGCCCCACTGAGCTCCCCCCTCTCTTCTACTGACCATGAATGTTAAGGTGTGCAAAACCAAGGGTTTGTGAAAAGGTATGTTGAACAGTTTTACTGGAAGAACAGATTTCCTTCACAGACTGTTTCATGTGCAGACCGAGGAGAGCAGAGGGCCTGGCTGCTGCAAGGCTGATGGAGGAGTGCAAGTAACTGGGAGCCCTGGGGAAAGGGATCTGGTTTGGAGCTCACAGTCATGACTACAGTTACATCTAGCAGGACTCAAACTCCTAATTCTCTCTTTTCACTGCTAAAACTCTTGAGAAAATGCTCCTTAAAAAACAATCTGATGATTTTATGCTGGCTTGGAAACATAAAACCCCAGCAGCCAAAATACCCTTGGTGTATATGTCACTTTTTATTGATCCACCCTCTTTTCCACCCAAGATGAAACACTCATTATAGAATTACATCCACTGTGTGGTCAGCTTGGCTTTTCCCATGTGGTTGGTATAAGGTACTCAACAAAGTGATGGATCTGTTAACACAAGACAATTTGATATCAGAACAGACCCCAGTGCTGCAGCACAGCTCCTTGCCAATGCAAACCATTACCTGAAGTTTTCCCTGACCATGTTGTCTGTGTGCTGGCACCAATGAATCTTGCTGATTGAGTCGAGTCCTCTTTCCTGGAGGTGTCTTCTTATTCTGCAGCACTACTTCCCTTTCTGAGGTACATGCAGAGCTCCTGCTGAAGTCCCGCTTGCCTTTGCTCATGATCATGAGAGACTCTTTTCTGTGGAATATGCTCTGGTGGTAGCAGAGGTGGTATATTGCGGAAGCATTACCAACATGGAATTATTTCTTGTCATGGGGGGAAGGACACAGTCTGTTATTTTTATCTTTATAAACCCATCTGGACATCTTCAGCTCACCAGATTTTTTTTCTGATTAGGGCAGCCAGAGTCTAACAGACTCTTGCTGGCTTATGTCTTTCACTGTGATGCAGAGTATCTAAATTTCAAGTGGTCAGAGAAGGGCACCAGCCTGCCCCTTTCGTATTCCTACAGCAGTGAGCCTGAGCTGATTTCTCTGCATGCGGAAAGTCACTGAAAGCCAGAGGGAATTCTGTACTTGAAAGGGTTTCAGCCATGAAATGCAGCAAGCACCAGCAGCACCTCTCTGTGAGCTTCAAAGGAATATGACACTCTTCGGATATTCTGAATCTTGCCAGGTATTTTAGTGGTACCTCTTTTTGCCTAGGTGGTCATGCTATAGTCTCTGTACAATTGGGTGTGCATATATATATGTGAAAAAAAGAACATTTCAAAACAAAAATAAATCTAGTTTTTGACCAAGCTGGTGAAAGTCTCAGAATGGGTGAAAAATTACGTGATTTCTTTAATGTTTCAGTGTAATCACTACAAGTGGTTATACAAGATGTAAAAACAGCTGAAGCTGGTATTCAAATATGTGGCTTTGTATTACAAAAGGATACTGAAGCACTGCTGGATTTATTTGTGTTTTAGTTGCAAAAATTTACTCCTAGATTTCAAACTCAGGCTTTGGAGCTATATGGAAAGCATAACAAAGCTATCATACAGTGCTTTCTTATGGTGCTTGTTCTAAAGGCATTGTTAGAGAAACAAGGCAGAATGCTCCTGATACATAAAAAGCTGTACTGGGTATAAACACAAAGTGAAATAGCTTATAAGTCATAGCAAAAAATTTTGAAAAGCCCTAAATTGTAAACAACACAGGAAGAATGAACAGAAAATAATAATTCAGATAAGATTTGTGGTTTTTAATGAGTTGCGACTTTTGCATAATCTCCAACAGCTCACATATATCCTGCCAAGGAATATACAACAAATGATACTTTGACTATAGATACTCAGAGGTGTCTTCAGAGGGTTGTTATGCATGTAACAATCTAATTTATCAAATCACAAGAGCATATAGTACACAATTAAAATGGGATATTAATTGCTAAAATAAAGTTTAAAATAAAAATGGACTTTAAAACGGAGACACTAAATAAATGGATGTCCAAGTCTGTCAAACACTCATATAAAGGTAGCTTATGGGTACCAAGCACTTGATTTACTGGTGTCCAGATGCTCATTTTGGCAGAGATGGTCCTTTCACATGCCCAAATTTGAAGACATTTCTTAAACTGTTGATGACCATCAGAAACGAGCTGCTGGGATAGCCCTTGGCCTGGTCCATAGGAATGCTTTTAAGGTCTTGCCACTACAACTGAGCAGAAAAGCAGTCAGTCCTTATTTCTCACAATTCAAAGTAGGAGAACAAAGGAGGAATGAAGTGGAGAAACAAAGTTCTTCCTCTTTGGTGCCTTCTCAAGGTCTCTGCACATAGATGCAGCAGAACCTTTGGACACCCTCTGCTCTTGCCTCATACTCCCAGCTTGTGCCTGCCCGGTCCCCATGCAGGTGCACAGGCGAGGTGTTCATTACTATTTAAAAAGACCTGTCACCTACTTTTAGAAGGGGAGTCTAATAAACTCCTGCTGGTTTTTGTCTTCACTGTGTGTACATCCTAATTCCAGGCTGAAGCGTTTCACTGAGGAGTCAGAGGACGCATTATCCCTCTTTTATCAGTACACAACCCCAGTCATAATGTATGCCCACAGGAAGAAACGTTTTCCCATGCAGGGAATGACTCACACTAGGTCAAAGCAGCGATATAAGGAGAGTGGAGAAAAGTGAACAGTAACTGCAGCTCATAAAAGGTGGCATTTATCTTAGCAGAGTGACAGCTGCTTACTGTGAAGTTACAAGGGAGTATTGTGATTTTCTGACTCTGAAGCCCACCCTTTAGGAACCACTGATCTGGAATATGAAAAGTCTACACATGCTGAAAAAGTCTTTTTTAATGAGACAGGGTCAGATTGTGATGAAGCTCACTCACATTGAGTGGCATTTTCCTTCTCTTTATGGCCCCATTAACACTGACACTATCATTATCAGTAAAATAAAGCTGAATACAGTGCAAATGCAGTTGCACTCCTGTTGGGTACTGATAATTGATAATTAATAGATTTCAACAGATTCAATTAGATTCTAATTTCTTGGGGTTTTTTTGAATGACCAGCTCTACAGGGAAGTAACAACAGTATGGAGTACCCCTGGTACGATTCTTATCATGACCAGTTTATCTAACTGATTTTACATCCCCATGCCATAGTGTTAGGGCTCAGTAGTGTGAGCTGCAGCAAATACCAGGCATGAAGTTGACTCTCTGTTCATAAGATTAAACAATGACTAAGCTTAAAAAAGCATAAACAGTGGTGTAATAAGGCTGTCATTACAGTATAACTGGAATAAAATGAAACTCTTATAAAAATTAACTACATTTTATTATAGCAAAGTGAAATGCAATCAGAAAACCGCTTTCTTTCAGTATAAATGTTCCACTTGCCTGCATACAGTATGCTACACAAAGTCCTGGGCTTAATCACCTCTTAGCTATATCATGACTCTTTTCGGATGCAAAACACAGCAATGCACCAAATCAGCTAGAGACACCAGAAATTATTAAACATGCATAGTCTTAGAGTCTGGCCAGTCTTCCTTAGTTTGTGTATATTTGTTGAGCCAGGAAAAAAAAAAGTAAATAAAATTTATAGAAGTTGTACGACAGCAGATTAACCATTTGATTTGTATCAGAGATAGGTTGTGCCTTGTAATATCTGTTGGGCTGTGCTGGGGAAAGGTGCCCGAAGACTGTAGAAGAGCACATGAAGCTCTAACCCACATTGCACAAGAACTGCATCCCACATCTGCCACAGAGGAGACAGGCTCATAACCTGCTGGAAGCAGCCTGGCTGCAGCTCATTTATGGAGAAAGTGCACTGGTCTTCCCTTGTTCTGGCCATGAGTGTGTTTTCAGAGGTGTCTCTCAGTGGAGGAATGAGCTGGATTCCTCACAGGGCACAATGTGCCATAAACTGCATGACACCCTTGGTCTGGTAGGAAACTCATTGACCCACAGAAAGTCTTGGGAGGAAAGACGGCTGAAGAGAATGACTATGTGTAGTTTTATATCAAACAAGTAGCAACAGAGGTTGTACTGGGTGGGCTGTCCTGGATTGGCCTTGCTCGGCTTCATCTGATGTTTTTCCTTGCAACTGGGTAATATGGCTTCGCTCAGGTATCATTGGAATCACTTGACCAGACCACATGTTTTTCATTTATGCTTTTTAATCTTAGCACTCCTGAAACAGAGATGTCACAAGGTACTATTTGCAAGCTCATCAGCTAACCTGATTTTAAAAACTTGAATAGCTCATTGAACTTAACTCTCTGATTTACTATAGAAGACCAAAGAACCAAGGATACATTAAAAAATCAAGTAAGGAAAGAATAGAAATTGCACCAAAAACATCTCTTTTTTTTAAAGCAGTGAGAATGTTTGAGAAAAGCAGAGGTGTAAAGGGAGAAACTTGGAGCCAGAAGATCCAAACTTCCCCTTGATTCTAAACTTAGCTCAGCCACTGGCCCACCGTGCAGATGACTCAGTGCACTTCCTTGAACTTAAATCATTCCTCTTACAAAACTTGTTAAAGAAAGACGTCAGTGTAAATTAGATGTTGTGTCTAAGTTTAGCTATGGCCAATACATAAATATCAGAACTTTAATGTGTTCTCATTTTTGTCTGCTTAAGAAATATGTGTATGTACATGCACGTATGCATATATATACATAGCAAGGGAGAGAAAGATTTCTTTGTGCTATTTTTGCAATTTTATTTACATATATTGTTATTCTTCTGGTGACATAAGAGCTCACAACTGATTAAAAGTTTAACCATTTTCAGAGCAGTCTGATTGCCACAATGCCCAAGCACTCTTCATTCTCTCAAACTGTCAGGAAAGTTTCAATCCCATCCAAGCAGTGGGAGCTGAGAGAGTACACATTCGGCATATAACATACATGATGGCTGATTTCTTGTGACACTAATCTTCACTCCTGAGGGAAAGGCAGTCATTTATTCATAATGCTACCACTCAAAAGTAACCATTCTTCTCACCATGGAGATAAATGTTAAAACAGAGACCAGCCATAGGCTGAGTCTAATCTAATCTGTCCAAAATAAATATATATTTAGATCTGTTGTCAAATCTTGAATGGCAAACCCTTTAGCCTGGGCAACTATTTCCTCAGTCTGCCCTCTACATCTATAAATATGCATACCAAAATGGACATATGCTATCAGAGAAGCATATTAATCCTGCTAAAATGGACAGGATATGATGCTGACCAACCTTTCTAATGTGAGCAAAGAGTCAGAAGACAAAGCACATGACTTTCAGAAATGTATAGCAGAGAGGAAAAAAATATATTATTTTTGTTTAAATCTTTCAACACCCACCTGAAATCAGCAGGCCCTTCACTCCCAAATGGCTGATCCAGCAAATGAGAAAAACAAGGTTCTACCTGGATGCCTGTGGAAGATGGCAAATTAGAGGGATTGACAAATTAGAGGGATGGGCAATCACCAACCAGATGAATTTCAACAAGGGAAAGTGCTGGATTCTGCACCTGCAAATGGGGCAATCCTTGATGTACGTACAGACTGGGCTTAAGAACAATGCTGCAGAAAGGGACCTGGGGGTCCTAGTCGATGACAAGTTGAATATAAGTCAGTAGTGTACCATGGCAGCCAGGAGGGCCAACAGTGTCCTGGGGTGGATCAGGCACAGCATTGCCAGCAGGTCAAAGGAGGTGATTGTCCTGCTCTTCTCTGCACTAGCACAGCCTCACCTAGAGTGCTGCATGCAGCTTTGGGTACTACAAGATAAGAATTACATTAAGCTATTAAAGAGTGTCCAAAGGAGGGCCGTGAGGATGGTGAAGGGTCTGGAGGGGAAACCTTATAAGGAGTGGCTGAGGTCACTTGGTTTGTTCAGCCTGAAGAAGAGGAAATGGAGGAGAGACCTCCCTGTGGTCTTCAACATCCTCAACAGGGGAAGGAGAGGGGCAAGTACCAATTACTTCACTCTTGGAACAGGACTCAAGGAAACGTCATGAAGCTGAGTCAGGGGAGATTTAGCTTAGATATCAAGAAACGGTTTTTCACCTGGAGAGTAGTTGACTATTGGAACAGGCTCCCCAGGGAAGTGGTCACGGCACTAAGCTTGCCTGACTTCAAGAGGTGTTTTGACAACACTCTCAGGCACATGGTGTGGATTTTTGGGGTATCCTGCACAGGGCCAGGAGTTGGACTTGATGATCTTGATGGGTCCCTTCCAACTCAGCATATTCTATGATTCTATGACATCCTGGTATTGAGACACTGGAGGACATCATAGAAGAACTAGAAGTGACTGTCATTTTTCTGTCCCGCTCCTCTATTTCATACTGTCAAAAATCTCCATGACATTCTTTTTGAAGTAGAATGCCTGAAAATGACCTCAGAGTCTGAAGAGAAAGAGATCTTCTCTCTCATAAATAAATTATACTGTTTCAGAAATCAATACATCTATTTCTCCTAGATATTTAATTATTGAAGTATCAAAACAAACACTTGCATAAATGGTAAACATAGCTTGCCTTCACTGCTTTTAAACTGGCATATTTCTGGTGCTCAAATATCCCTGTTCAAAGCTAAATCCCATTTTTGCATTTAGATAAATCTTATCAAAAGCCAATTAACTAATTATTTCAAAAGATGCATTAGGTTTAGCAGTTCAACCACATTACCTCTAATGCCTCATGTACTACTTCTCTTCTGTGCATATTCCAGGCAAGTAACTGAGACATGGTTTTAGCGAAAAGCACTTCCAAATGTCCCACACAGGTTTAGAATGAATGGGACCTCAGCTATGCCAGGATGGGAGTGCCTCTAGGAACCCAAGAGCAAAAGAAGGAGATCTAGAGGCCTGCTACAAGTCACTTTGACTTGCTCTGTCCCAGGATTTGCACTTATAGCTGGGTCAAATCCTTCTTTGGAATAATTATACAGATCTGCATTGCAGCTGAATTGGGTCCATGTATCACAATGCACAGATACGCAAGCAGCACTGCTGGAATGTGTCTACACTTTCTAAAGGTGGTAGAAATGGGTGCCAGATGAAAGCTGAGATAACAAAGCATGGTCATTGCGCAGGAAAAGAAAGGAATGATTCCCAGAATAGTAGCTCAGTAAGGTAAAATATCTGAAAAAAAAGGTTTTAACACAACATAACACAAAACAGTACTAAGAACCATGGTGTCACTTCCAGGCCATGGCTTCTGTGCATGTGAAGTAATCATCTGGAAAAGAAGCTAGCTGTGAGAGATGATTATGAACAGATAATGATCTCACAGCAGGACAAAATGGCCAAGAGAGCAAACACAACCCTTGTTAGCAATGAGCATCCCCTGACCAAGAAGAGGAAAGTTACTACTTTTTGTCATATTCTCAAGGTGGTCACTGCTAGGTACTGTAATCATTTCTAGTCTCAACAGTTTAGCAAGGATGTTAATAAATACAAATAGTTCAGAAATAGTGCCACCTGTGAAAAATCTTCCTCATGCTGAGCACTTAAAGATCAACCTTACTACCTCAAAGAAAGGTCACAGAGGAGAGTAAATCTCTGCCTAGGACTACCTACATGCAGAGGGAAACCCACAGGCATTAGAGATTCTTCAGCAGGTTACAAATCTCCTGGACTCAAAAATGAGACAAACTGAGACAAGGAACTGAGTGCTAAACTGCCACATTTGGAACAACTTATGCAGTAAATTTGCCATCCATGTAAGCTTTGCAATCAATACTGCTGTCATACAGAACAGCTCACTCAGAAATGAAATGCTAAATGAAGGACTCCATGAAATCCTATGCCCTGTATTATCTAAAAGAGAGTAGACGATCATAAGAGTCCCCTTGGGTCTTAAAAATCCATGAGTGTAGTTCAGAAGACATGTACTTCTAGAGGCTAAGAATGAGGTCCTTACATTTTTCAGGTATGTGCTATCCCCTGAAGGTTTTTCCTGAAGACTAAATTATTTATCCTATAAGGTGAAAGTAAGCTGCAAAAATATCAAGTAGCAAGCCCGCAGAAGATCAAATTTCCTTCTGATTTTCTATTTTCCTTAACTCTAGGTGAAAACATATACAGACAATATATGAACTCTGTGTTTTGAAGAAGACTGAAAGATTCCAAAGGCATGTGGAGAGGAGGTCAACAGCCTCATAAGCTCATCTTGTGAAAGGCAGATGCTGGCTACAGCTGGGTTAAAAACAGGGCTCTACAGAAACTGGCTTTTCTGGTTTTGGTGACCTATGTAGCTCTGTGACAGATATGGTGTTGTACCACATTTCCAAGGGTTGGAATCTGGAGCAGTCTGTCTGCTCTGTTCAGCTTCCTTTACTAATTGACTGGAGTTTATTATTTTGACTGAATGTGAGGAGGTTTACACAATATGAGGCTCCAAAGCCATGTCTTGTCTAGTCATTCTTGTTTTCACAGCTGGCTTTATCCATTTCTGCTGCTAGTCGTATAGCAGCACACAGAACACCAGCAATCTCCACAAAACGCATGCTATAATACTCGCTATTGCACAATTTCCAGGTGTATCATTTCAGGTAGCAGTTTAAATCAATGGGAACAGAGTTGAGCTTCTTCATGGAATTGTATTTGATTTGGTAAAGAGGAATTTGTGTAGAGCGAGGCTAGGACCATCTCTATGTGATTTATAGCAGAATTTGCATCTTCAACAAGTGCCAGGACTTCATGAAGACCTTATCTTTCAGGTGGACCGATCCTAAGCTTCATCCTCAAGCTACCAATACCAAGATGGTCTTTAGCTAGGATCTCTTAATCACATTTTCAATTTTGATAGACAGGAAATGGAAATGTAGTGTGTTTATATGTCTCAGCACTGCATAATTACTGAATAAACCTAAGAGCAGTTTTTTGCTGTATGCTGTCCTTGGAAAACAGTGGCTGGATTTTGTTACGCTATAAGTCTGGAAAATCGCTCTCCTCTCCCCCTCCCCCCAACAGGTATGTTTTGGGATTTTTTTTTCATTCTTCTCACCTGATCTGTGTTTAATGAGCACTTTTATCTGACTTTGCAGTAATTCCTAACACATACCACTGATGACATCAGTTTTCTACATTCTCTGGTGTTGTCCAGTTAGTCAGTAAAATACTGTTGTTGAAATAGCTTAGAAGGTGAATTCATGGCAGAGAGGATATGACCAGCCTGTTTCAAATCCTGGACTTAAGAGTTTTGAAAAATCAATTGCTAGGAAATTGTCATTTAATTCCTGTGCTTTGTTTTTTAATTGTATGATCTTAGAAAGAAGTAGAGTTTACTTTAAAGTAAATTGCTGATACTTTCCCACATACTTGAGTAAAGTGCCGGAGCTACAATAAAAAATAATTAACATAAACAGCTATTGCTAAATTAAAGTGAAGATTAAAGTTTGGGTATCCTGACCTCCACTTTGTGCTGACAAACTATCCTGTGCTTTTTCTCTGTAGACACCTACTACCCTGTAAAACCTAAGGAACTCTTTGTCGTGTTAGAGTATAATTTTTTTAGGACAGCCCAGTGTATCTTTAATCCAAAGAAAGATGCTGCCGTTGCCCAAGCCGGGTGACGTTTGGAAGCACATTGTCGCATACAGAATGTTCATTAAAAGCGGATTAGGTGAAGATCTCATCAAACAGACGGGATTCTGCTTAAAATAAATGGCTTCTAAGCACAGGAATTGTTAGAGGAATGGACCATAGGCGCCGACCAGTTTGGTTTGCATATTTTAGAGAGTATTATTGAGCTGGTGTGTGTGGAAGTAGGCTCTTTACTTCAGTAGTTCTGTTTAGTTTACTCGAACAGAGTAGTAATCATCGATAAAAATGTTAGAGGTCATTTGGTGATAAAATGTGAAGACTTAATAAAAAGATATCCCAGGCATGAAACACTGCAGCAGAACGCTCCTTAAAAATTAACTAATTTTTAAAAATAAATTAAATGAAATGCAGCTTTCACTGTTAGGTTCTAGATTTCTCTCCCCCAAACATTAGACGAAATTGCATTGTTTACAAAAATTTATTAATACAAACTTTACACACTTTATATAACAGTTATCAAAGTCCTAGTTATAGATATCATGTGTGTAATAATACTTTTTTAAATTTCTTTTTATATTCATTTGCACACAAAAGTTCTCCAAGACTAATATCTACCTACCATGACTGTATTTCAAATCTGCTCAAATTTTGGTAAGGCTGTTGGCGTTTCTAAAAAAAAAAAAAAAAAAAAAAAAAGAAATCGTACAAAGGATAATAACCTAGGCGATCACTTCATAATGCTTGCGACTAGCCACTGAACTGTAACTGATAAGGTCATAAACAAAACGTCGAGAGCCCTATGTCATTATACCACAGCCGACACAAACACAGCGCACTCTGCCCATGGCCAAAGAACAGAAGGACGACTAAAACGCAAGCCGATGTGTTGCAGCATCGTAGGGCCACTAAATAGCCATCCGTGAACTCGTGGCGATTTACAAGGTGAAGAGAAGGCACGAAAGCTGCACACTGCGCCCCGCGTCCCTGCGCCCCGGGGGCCCGCCCCGGCAGGGCCGGCAGGGCGGTGCCGGCAGTGCGGGCAGCCCGGGCAGCCCGGACAAGCAGTGCCGGCAGCGCCTGCCCGCCCCGCCGGGCTCTGCCCTCCCTGCTCCGCTCCTCCCGGCGGCCCTTCCCGGCCTGGGAAGGAGGGTTTTACCCGCCAGGGGTTTTTGGGGTTTTTTTTCCGACGTCTTGGATGCGGGGCTCGTTTTGTGTCTTTGGAAAGACTCCTGTAAGGTTTGTGTGGTGAGCTGGAAGGAAACGGGTACCTACGTGTTCTCCTTCGTCCCCGGCCGAGGCAGGGGACAGAACCAGCCCCCAGGTGGAAGGTAAGATAGGAGTCCGTACATAGAGAGATGAGGTGAAAATGGTTTATCTCGTTAGAAACCGGACCACAGGTGAACACTACACATTCTTTTATGACAAAAGTTTGTTTTATGAAATAAATTTTACTAAGCAATAAGCCAGAATGTAGAAAAATACATTTTACCTCCAAACTCAATAAACAAGGAACAAAAACTTTCGTAGTAGTGCATAATTCTTTAGTGGTAGCTACAACAGGGGTTCCTAAACTTGTACAATAAGAGCTTGCATAAAACAGAACAAAGGAGTGAGAGAGCATTCACAATCTTTTTTTTTTTTTTTCCAAAAAGAACATAACCCAAAAAGGTGACTCAGGTGGGTTAAACAGAGCTCAGAAAAGTTCGAAGAGAGGATGAGAGGCGGGAGGGTCTACAAGAAAAAGGAATCAAAGAAAAGAGCAACTCCGACCGAAAAATGCAAAGGCAAGAACCCTGCTCATTATTACACATGATGAGAAGCATGGACAGCACTGGAGAGTAACACACTGTACTTTGCATCCAGGTCCAGTACCGAGCTGCCCGGAGCAGTTGGGTAGCGGATCAGAGGTGGGATCGCCTCGTCTTACCTCGACCCTGTGGCACCGGCTCCGGTACCAGCTCCGGCCCCGGGGCGCGCTGGGGGCCGCCCCCGCTCACTTCCCCACTCTTTCCAAACGGGTCCTGTCTCCGCTTTGGCTTTGTTCTGCAACTGCCCAGCCAGCCAGAAGAGCAGTGCACGGGGCTTAGTACTTACTATCCTTGCTGCTGGTTCGGGATTTTGGGGTTGGGGTTTAAGAGTTTGGCTTTCTTTAGTTTTAATTTGATTTTTGTTATTGTTCTTTTGGTTTTGGTTTTTTTAACTATTTCTCCCTCCAATAGGCAACAGAGATGCACAATTTGGATCGAGCTGTTGTTTTTGCAAGAGAATTATCCTCTAAGCTCATTGTTTGAGGAGACACTAACACAGATACAATTGGAATCAAATAAAGCAGGAGAGGAAAAAAATAATCGAAATCTAGAGGAAAGGGGACTCTGCCCCTTCAGAAAGGCTAGTGGCAAAGGAGCCTGCCTTGAGACTCACTAGGGGAAGAATCTGCTTTACCAATTCTCCTAAATCAATTTCCTCATAATTCCCCTGGGAGCAGGTCATCCTTCTCTATGTACAGTAGCAAATGGTGATAATTAATGTCTTCGACCCTGTTGCGGATAAAAATACTATCCTTTTAATTTCTGTTACAAAAATAGGAGTAATATTCAAAACAATGATTGTCTTTTTTTTCTATTTATTTTATATAAAAACATAAACAGCTCAGCGAATTCTTGTTCTTGTGCAGGCTTTTCATGAAGAATTGTTCTTTAGTATTCTTAGTAGTATATATATATATATTTATATATTATATATAACTTAATGATTGGTCCACAAAGTAGATCTGTGCGTTTCTCTAGTGCTTTTGTACAAAAGAAAAACAATATTATTATCAAAATATTCATTTAATGGCTTTACTTCATACATAAATACATGTTTAGATAACACAGGAGCGGTGATTGTTCAGTCAGTTTGGAAATGACTTTTGTTTTTGTTTAGATTTTTTTGTTCTTGTTGTTGTTGGGTTTATCTCTCTCTCTCTCTCTCTCTCTCTTTCTCTCTCTCTCTCTCTCCCTTAGGACTTTGTATACACAGGAGTGGCTGGTTACTCACATCGCTACAAATACGCTACTCGGCGTCCTTTGTTTTTAACTCTTTGTTTATACCTTTTCCCCAGGACGGCTGCTAAGTATTTCTTGACAGCCATTTGTTTCCGGTAGCGGCTGTAGCTGTCCGTGAAGATGCCGTCTATGTGCCGCTTGGTCAGCGGTTCCGCCTCGTCCCCCAGGCCGCCGCTGGCACCGCTGCAAGCACCGAGAAGCACAGCTGCATCAGGCGGGACCGCTCCGCCCCCCTCCGCGCCCCTCCGCACCGCCCCGCGGCCCTGCGCAGCCCCGCGTCGCCCGCTGCCCCGGGCGCAACACGTTGCGCGGAAGATGCGCGGGGAGACAAAGGCCGCGCCGAAACCCGCTCCCGACGCGGTGCGCGCAAGTGGCGGCGGCGGGAGAAACAATATCTCCCCACCATGAATTATTCATTGCGGCCGGGAAAGCTGCTCTCCCTGGGGCTTTATTAACGTGTTACCTTCTGCCGAAGGGCAGCGGGTGGCACCGGGCTCGCCCCTGCCCCGCTGGCGACGGGGAGCCCCGGGGAGCCCCGCCCGCCAGCTGGGGCTGCGCCGGGCTGCAACCAAGTTCCCCCAACCCCCTCTGCAGCCGCGCCCTCGGTCATTGCTCCCCATAAACTGCTCCCCCCACCAAATCGTGGAGGCTGCCCAATTTCTCATTTTTAAATCAGTTGATTATAAAAAATTATAGAGACATAGATATAGATACGCACTCACACACATATATATATATGTGTGTGTGAGAGTGTGTATCTATATCTATCTATCTATCTATCTATCTATCTATATGCCCGAGCGTATTAACCCAACCAAACCTCCGCGACCGCCTGAGCTAACAACCGGGCTCATGCTGCGCCGAGAGCGGACCCGGAGCCGGCCGGGAGCCACGGCCAGGAGCAGCTGAGGCTTGGGGAGCCGGACTCCCCCAGCCCCACCGCGGGCGCAACACGTTCCCGGCCCCGGCCGGGACAGCCTTATTCTCCCCAGCCACCGCCCTTTCAGCGCCTCCGCTCCAGCAGCACCAACGCCCACCGCAGAAAGAACAAGCAGAGACCCTTACCCGACCCGCTTGGCCATCAGGGAGTGCAGATATTTCCTGGCGGATAACTGGCCCAGGAGTTTCCTGTAGGCTTTGCTGAAGATCCCATCGGCGTGCCTGGGCAGAGGGAAGAGCCCACGGGTGAGCGACGAGGCCCGGGAGGGGACTGCAGCGGGTGCGGGAGCCCGGGCGATGACGGTGACCATCTTTCCCCGCCGGCGAGCGGAGGGCGGCATCTCCCCGCGTCCCCCGGGACCCCTCGTCCCCACCCAGATCCCTCCCCGTCGCGCTGGCTCGGTTCCGCGCCGGCTGGGCATTTCTGCTCCGTTTGCGGGAGCATCGCTAACCCTCCCCGGCGCGGGTGGCTCCCCCGATCCCTCCCCCGTCCTGCTGGAGGTAAGGCGGCTTTTCCATTTCTTCTGGGTTTTACACTGAGCACCTAGACCCGGGCAATGTGGTCTTTTGTTTGGGTTCGGGATTTTTATTTTGACGTTGTTGCTGTTGGCTTGTTGAGTACCATTACTATTTTTTTCCCCCCCAGTCGGCTCTGTCAGACCCGTTTTGCTCCCGGATCAAAATTCACGCCTGACACCCCGCGAGTCGCTGTCACCTCTTTTCCGGTGGGTAATACAAGGTGTACATCTCGCCGATCATGGAGGACGGATTCGCTATGCCGAGGGGTTCGTGGTCGTAGGCGAAGTCCTGCAGGGTGTTCCCGTCCTCGTCGTAGACTTCATCCTCCAGCCTGGCAACGAAAGCAGCAAGGAGAAGGAGTCAGCCGGGCTCCGCTCCACTCCCCGCTGCCGGCTTCCGACTGCGTCGGTGGTCACCCTTCGTCGGAGCCGCCCCGGGCACCCCGGGAGCCCCGTCCGACTGCCCCCATCCCCTCCTTGCACCCGCCCGCTCCCCATCCCCGCCCTCCGCCTCCTCTGCGGGGCAGGACCGCGGAGGAGGGAACACACCCGCCGTCAGACGTGCTCCGAGAAACCCCCCAAACATTGCCCCCCCCTCGCTCCCCCCGGCCCACGCCCCGGCCCGCGAAACAGCTTCTCTCTGCCACAGCCAGGGTTGGTGCTTGCCGAGCGGAGCGCACGCCCGCGCAGGCTGCCGCACACACACGCGTTCGTGTGCCAGGGGCTGGGCGGGAGCCGAGCAGCCTCCGCGGCGGAGACGGGGCGGTGAGCGGCAGCCTCGCCGCCGGGGCCGGGGGCCTCGCCCCGCTCCTCCTCGTAGCGCCCGCCGGGCCGGGGAGGGCTTCGCCGGTTGTTTTTCGTTGAACGGTGGCTCTGCATTTGAGATCGCGCCAGTTTTGTGTGTGTGTCCCAGCCCCACCCCGCCCCCCATGCTCTCTGCCTCCCTCTCTGCAGTACGATGTAGGTCATTGCACGTTACAGGCAGCTATTTTTGTCAGTGAGCTTTAGCAGAGGTATTAATAATAGATGCTGCTAAAGTGTTCCACTCTTGCTAATTCAGGCGCTTGAATGAGGAAGGCCGGCTTGCTGCCGGTTAATGGCTCCGCAGGCCACCGAGCCTGCTGCCCCCCAGCCGCACTGACCAGGGAGATGAACGGGGCTGCTCTGAACCAGCCCCGACGGGCTCTTGGTTACTGCAAGGACACCTCGGAGCCCCAAAAAGGACACCCTCCTCGGACAAACTTGCGCGCCCGGCATGCCCCCACCCCACCCCCACCCGCGCTCACAGCTGAGCCGCACGGCAGTGACCCCCGCAGGGCACGCCGGAACAGACCCAAGCGCCGGTGGAGCAGGACGACAGCACCGAACCCAAAACTCCCCCCAAGCCAAGCAACACCAGTCACCCAAACAGGCGACAAGCAGGATGGGACGAGGCTGCCATCGGCCGTCCCGTACCGCGTACCCTGCGCCCCCAGCCGCAGCCCAGCGTGGGATACTCCTTGTGCCGATGCCTCTGGGTGTCCCCCACTCCTGCCCCAAACACAGCGGGATTCAAGCGCCCATGACTCTCAGTTGGAAAGTGACAGCACGGGCATCAGCCCACACAGCAAGACAACTCCGAACAACACAGAAAACCAAACAACCTCGTGCCAGCCCCCTTCCCTCTTGAAAAGAACTGTCGTATACAGTCAGGTAAACAAGGGAAGAGACTGAATTCCCACCCGCTCCAATGCCGCTACACGAACCATGACAGCTCTCACATGCTTGCAGACAACGGCGCACCAGTCCCCGTGCCCCACACCCCCTGACCCGGACAGGCGATGCTCACCCTGGGCGAGCTGCGGAAAGCCGGAGGGGGCCGAGGCCCTCGCAGGACAAGGGGCAGGTGGGGAGGAGCTGCTGGGCGCCGTCTGGATGCAGCAGGGACCTCGGCCCGCTACAGCCGAGACGCAGCAGAGCAGGTCCCCCACTCCTGGGGAAAAGGGGCCGCAGGTTTACAGCGCCGGGATCCCAGGGAGCGGCCCTGAGGGATGCCAGTGCTGCAGCCGGGAAGGGTCATACGCCGGGGCAGAGGGGGTGGGCACACAGCCTAAGTGGAGGGGTTTTCCTTTGATGATTCCCCGCTACATCCCCTTCCCCTTTTCTCCCCAGTAAGATTCCGTTGCCCTTAGCTAAGCTGGGGCAGCGGGGGGCTGGAGGGGTCCCGACAGAGCCCCTGGAAAGGGGACGGACCTACCTGAGCGCTGGGTACTGAAGTCCGGCCGCAGGTGAGCAGTAGACGCTGCAGTGCATTATTATGCCATAGACCAGGAGTGCTAAGATCGCTTTGCTACACATTGCCACTCTGTGCGGGAGGGAAAGGAAACCTGCTGTCAAAAAAAAACCCAAACAAACAAAAAAACCACCAAAACCCAAACAAAAAACACCACCAAAAAAAAAAGAAAACAAACCACCCTACGACCCACCACGCCCCCGGCCTTGCCTGCCGAGAAGGGAGGCAGCGGGTCTCCGGGGGACAAGAGCCCTGGGCAGCCGGCTGCTAGAGCTGGGCGGCACGGAGAGGCACGGAGCGGTGCCCAGCGCAGAGCGCTGCCGCCGGTGCCCGCCCCGTCGGTGCCCGGCCGCCCGCCCTCCCCGGGACCGCTGCGGAAAGGCCCGGAGAGCCGCCTCGTGTCCTTACCATTAAACTCTAGACACCCGGCACTGAGAGCGTTTGGCTGCGAAACTAAACCGGCAGGTCTTGGAGAGGAAAAAAAAAAAAAAAAAAGACCCAAAATAGGGAGGGGGAGAAATCGAGCTCTCTCCCAAGTGGCGTCCGAAAGGAGTTAAAACCCTCGTGGCATTGCCTCTCCGATGGGCGAAGAACGCGCAAGATGCAGAAGACGCAAAAGCGGCAGCAGTTAGTTGTTTGCTGGTTTTAGGGCAATTCACTCCAAAAAGAAAAAGAGAAAGAGGAAGGGGCGAAAAAAGATAAAGGGAAAAAAGTTTGCAGGTAGCAGCACAGATCTGGAGTGGGGTCTACAAGGGAAGGGAGAAAGAGGGATGGAGCGATATGTCGCCTGAGAAAGGAGCGCAGGGGAAGAGGGAAGAGAGCAAACGAGCCCGGGAGGGAGCGGAGGCGGGAGCCGCGGGCTGGCTGCGTGCGATGTTGTCTTCCCCAGATCTCTCCCCTCACTGAGCGCCTGCTTTCAGCCTTCTCCTCTTCTTCTCTTCCTGCACGGTGGCTCCAAACTTGACCAGCCTTCCGCAGCCTTCCGTCTGATACGCAATTAGCAAGAAAATCTTTGCAAACACCCCGCTTCAGCAGGAGCCCTCTTCGTAAACATTTGCCTGCTTGTTGCCTTAGAGGACGGGCAATATTGTTTGTTGCCCCCGTGGTGGTGTCCGGATTTTTATTCATGAATCAAATGCCTTTTTTTTTCTCAGTCACGTAATAATCGGGTATCAGAAAAGACGTCACCACCCCAATTCCTCAAGGAACACAGTTCTGTGTCGTCCTCAAAGATGAGCTTATCAGGAGTCATAAAGCTTCTCATAAACACCAAGTTACACTTTCCTCTCCCCCCCCCCCCAAAAATATAAAAAGAAAACCCAACAACCAAACAAATACACAGAAAACCCCCACAACCTATCCCACAAATCTAAAAGGATGTTCGCCACGGTAAAGTTTTACCTGAGATAGGAAGGGACCAGGAGGGGGAGGAGGGCAGTTTGGGGCGGGGTGAGGCTCCCCGGATTTGTCGGGCTCCCCGCGTCTTTGCTCCCAGTCTTTCCGCGGGGCCAGCTCAGCCCACGACGCCGCCCGGAGCCGCCGCTGGGCACAGGCCCCCGCGGAGCCACCCGGCTCTGAGCGCGCAGGCGGAGCAGCCCCGGCGCGGAACCCCCCACTTCCACGGAGATTTGGGGATACAAGCGCCTTTTTTTTTTCCCCCCGACCCCTTTCTTTTTTTTTCTTTAAGGAATGTTAGTGTTGTTCCCATTGCGCAAGGCGCCCCCCCGGGGAAACCAGCAGAGCCCTGCGTGTATTGAAGCCGTGGGGCGTGAGGGACGAGCCCCACGGCCGCCCTGCAAGGAGGGTCCCACACGCCGCTGGCGCTGGCCAGGGACGGCGGGGGAGACTTTCCTTCCCCTCACGCCTTGGCCCGACCCTCCCCCTCCTCTCCGCCTTGTGTAGAGACAGATATGCAGCTCGCAGCGCTTGGCAGAGCGGGAGGGAAAAGCATCGCCATGAGAAAAAAAAAAAAGAGAAGTTGATTTGCCGGAGGGACCGGGAAGGAAATCCCTTCTCTGGGGACTTCCCCGCCGCCGGAATAATTTTCCCCCCAAGTGATGCGCCGGGCGCGGGCCACCGGCGGGTTCCCAGCCGCTGCGATCGCGCTCGTCTCCGCGCTCCCCTCCCTTCGCGGCCGAAAATGTGCCCTTCATTTCCGAGAATTACCCAAAGAAATCCAGGCTGCAGGAGCCATTACTGCATATTTTAATTATTTCGATCATAAGCAGAGAGTTCAGGAAGCAGCAATAATATAGTTCTCCTGTTTCCTATTTGAATGGCTTTGGTGTAACATGCTTGGATGAGTTATTTGAGCCCAAATCGATTTCTCAAAAACAACAACAACAAAAAACACACCATACAATTACGTTCCTATTACGGTCATTTAAGGTTTCAATATTTTTCCGGAGATAAAGGCAATTTAACGTGAATGAACGATTCCCGTAGAAATGGCCATCGACGCGATCCCGGACGGGGGGACAGGACTGGGAACGGAGCGGGACGCTACTACCCCAGTTGTCATTCCCTGCCGGGCGTGTCGGACTGGGAAGGTCCGCCAGCACGAGAGGGGACGGGGCAGGACGCCCGGCGGGGCCGCTGGGGTAGGGGGCAGTTCGCGGCTCCCGCTAGGGAAGGGGTCTCTCCACCGCTCCCGCTGGAGAAGGCGCACCCTGCGGCTCCCGCTGGAGTTGGGGTCACCCCATCGCTCCCGCTGGAGAAGTGGGTACTACACGGCTCCTGCTGGAGAAGGGGCACCTCGCGGCTCCCGCTGGAGAAGGGGGCACCCCACCGCTCCCGCTGGAGAAGGGGGCACCCCACCGCTCTCGCTGGAGAAGGGCACCCCGCGGCCCCGCCCGCCGCTCGCTCGGCCCGCGGGCGCGGACGGTCCGTGAGCGGAGGGCGCCACCGCGCGGCAGCTCCGCGCCTGCGGCCGCGCCGCGAAGCCGCTGTCGGGCGGGCCGGGAGTGCTTCGTCCCCCGGCTGGGGAGGGCTGAGGTAAAACCCCCCGCGCTCCCTCCGGGCTCCCGGGCCCGGCTGTGAGAGCGGCTTGCAGGGAAGGGCTGCCCACTGCTCCCCTTCAGCGGGCTTTGGAGGCTGGTGGATTTTTTGGTTTCCTTTGACATGAGTCTGCGACAGCAGGTGTAAACAAGGGCTTTTCTAGAAACCAGCGTGGCAGGGATTGGTGGATAACGTCGGTTTGCAAGCTTGAACACACAGTCAGTCTAAAGAATGGCAAAAAACATTCCCTCTTTCTGAAGAGACCAGAGTCACAGGCAATACATTTTAAAGCTCTGTCTGTTTTCACTTTAGAAAAGCTACTTTCAGTGACTTTTGATTTACACAGCTGCATTTCCTCTCCTTCCCCCCAACTGGCCCAGATCCTTACAGAAAGTACCAGGATGCCTGAAATAATAGGGGTAAAGATTCCCATAAAACAAACCTGTGGCTACAGACTCTATGTAGCAACCCAGTGCCACCCTGGTAATACTGTGCATGCAGGAGAGACGTCAAGATGGTTTGCAAAAAATACAGTTTCTAAGCTCTTCAAGGTGAGTGAATAACTCACACACTATTCATGTGAATAAAAGTTTCATAGCACCTCAGTCCACGTCACAGGGGTGTATGTGTATAACGTGAATGTGCATATGGCATGACTGCAGTTTAGGCTGAGTAAGTAAAGGTTTAAATCTGGTCTCCACGTACAAGTACATTTCTACATAATTCTGTCATTTCAAGGCTGAGAGGGATTTAAGGTTTATAATACTTGCCTCTAAGGCAAATTACTAAGGCAGCATCTGAAGAAAAGTGTTTTTTTTTTACTGGCAGAATTTCCTTCATCTTTCTCCTACCAGCTTAAATTAGACCTTTTAATTTATCTGACTATTCTATTTTAAATGTCTATTTTATTAACTAGAGCATTATAATTCTATAGATGTTTCTAGGGGAGCTTACATTCTCTGAGCCTTGTTAAGCCTGACTGCGACTGACTGCTGTAAACCCTACCACTATAGCTTTAGTTCAAAGGAGCGTATTTCATCATGTACCATGATGGGTATCTTTTTCACTCCTCAGAAAAACCCTTTTTTATATTTCTGCATATTTTATAAAAAATACTATTGGTCCATAAAGCCAGATACCTCATGCACACCTGTTGGATGCCCAGCAACTGTATTCATATTTTCTCAGTAGATCCCACCTTAGCTGCATATTTTAAAAGGAACCTGGAAGATTGATATACCTGGGATACATAATTTTATCATGAAAGGGCACATGTATTTCTGCCAATATAGGAAAGGATGAACTCTTCTTTCTCAAAACCAAGCAATCCTGCCAAACCAGCTGTCTCTCTCTCTCACACACACACTATGGGTTTATCATCTACCTTGTTATTATCTCTCCCCAGGCCTCCTTTCTTAGTGGGATGGCTTGGGGAACCCATTGCTGACCAGTGTGCCAAAGAGTACGTCTGCATCAGCTTCATAAACATAACACCATCTTTTATCTTTTCTTGGCTTTCCAGGCTTCTCCACCTCCCGAAGGGCTAGGTCCTGGGAAAGATAGACTTGTCAGAGGGGAGATTAACCCGTCCATGAAGTCATCATCTGTACCTGTGGTCATCTGATACTGGCTAAATAGGAATTGCCTGGCAGCAGAACGGAAGTTATTAAAGCTCAAGCAGGGGAAGCAGGGCTTGGCGGACATTTCAGCACTTCCAGTTGAGACATGGCACCCACGGCACAGGCAGGAAAGCCCCACTTTCCTCAGGGAGGCTAGATGGCAATCAACTCAGGGACAGAGATAACTGAAGTATTTCATTCATAGGTTTGTTTGTCTTTTATTAAACCATTCCCTTTCATGATTTCTTCAAATAAAAGCAGAAAAATATTTAGGCACACTGTAGAAAGCATACGCATCTGTGTGCTTTCTCATGTCTGAAGGGGCAAAACTATAATCCAGAGAAGCTTGCTCAGCCAGGGATGTTCTGGGCAGGAGGTACAAGCAGAAAAAAATAGAGAACAACAACCAGGGACAGTACTGGGACTGCAACTGTCTCAAGAGATGATGAAGGCAAGCCTCACCTGGTGGCCAGGAGCCTAGCCAGCCTCTTTGCAGGTGACCACCAACCATTAGTGAAGTCTTTGCAAGAATATTCCAGATAATTCCTTGCTGCCTTTTATTTCCAAGCAAATGGTTAAAAAAGTTTCTCAAACATATGCACTCTGAAGACAAGGACTGGGATTTTTTTCTTTTCTTCTCTGAAGTGAGGAGGCAGGACAATTATTCCCAGGGCAGCAATGTAGGAGCATCATCAGTGCAGTCATTCTGTTCTTGCTGCTGCTTAGAGCTCACAGTGAGAGACAAGGCCAGTAGGTTGCCTGTGTCTTGCATGATTGCCCACACAGAAGCTCAGTGTTCGATCTTGCATCGTGGGTGTCCTCCTCCCCTTGTTCAGTAAATTAAGGCACATGGCTACGACAACACAGAGGCAGAGTCATTCCCATCCAAACACACAGGCAAGAAACTCACTTTCTAAATGAATGAAAGACCAAACAGTGGACTTAGTTGCACAAGGAGGTACCACCATGGTATGTCTGTGAGACAAAATTTCCTTGGATGGCTAATAAATACATTTATAATCTCCATCTTTCACCCAAATGAACTCATATTCTGCAAGAGAAGAAAAAATTGTCCTTGATGCTTTCCAGCAGTGGTTCTTTGATCAATCATTTATATATGAAGAGTAGAGAAATAAATTATGAAAGGCAAACAGCAACCAAAAAAAAAGTTTTTTAAGATTTAATATTCAAAAGGCCTCTTTGACACTAAAGTCAGCAGCCTACAAAATGCCACTAAACGTCTTGCTTATCCACAGAGCAAAATAAAAGTCTTTAGCACTGGCAGCAGCTCTAGATCTATTCCCACTCTCCTTTCCATTTGGTCTGATGTTCGGGAGGAGAGTAAATCCTTAAGCAGATTGAATATAAAAAGTTTCACAGAATGCTGCCAAGCTACGATAATTTCTACTGGACAAATAATAGCCACAATATTTTTGTGTTCCAGGTTGCTTTAGATGCAGATGTAACCCAAGGTGAACAACAAGCACTGGTTTTGTACCCAAATGCGACAGAATTTTGGGTACACCTTTAGAAACAGTGGAACTGCCATGTGCCTGCGTCCTGAAACAAAAATCCATCTGTAGTTCTGAGGTATTGCTAATGGCATAGCTAAAGTTATTCATAGTTTAGATTTACCAGAAATAGTTGGAACAAATTAAT